ATGAAGATGAAGAGATGAAGATGAAGATGAAGATGAAGATGAAGATGAAGATGAAGATGAAGATGAAGATGAAGATGAGATGAAGATGAAGATGAAGATGAAGATGAAGATGAAGATGAAGATGAAGATGAAGATGAAGATGAAGATGAAGATGAAGAAGATGAAGATGAAGATGAAGATGAAGATGAAGATGAAGATGAAGATGAAGATGAAGATGAAGATGATGAAGATGAAGATTGAAGATGAAGATGAAGATGAAGATGAAGATGAAGATGAAGATGAAGATGAAGATGAAGATGAAGATGAAGATGAAGATGAAGATGAAGATGAAGATGAAGATGAAGATGAAGATGAAGATGAAGATGAAGATGAAGATGAAGATGAAGATGAAGATGAAGATGAAGATGAAGATGAAGATGAAGATGAAGATGAAGATGAAGATGAAGATGAAGATGAAGATGAAGATGAAGATGAAGATGAAGATGAAGATGAAGATGAAGATGATGAAGATGAAGATGAAGATGAAGATGAAGATGAAGATGAAGATGAAGATGAAGATGAAGATGAAGATGAAGATGAAGATGAAGATGAAGATGATGAAGATGAAGATGAAGATGAAGATGAAGATGAAGATGAAGATGAAGATGAAGATGAAGATGAAGATGAAGATGAAGATGAAGATGAAGATGAAGATGAAGATGAAGATGAAGATGAAGATGAAGATGAAGATGAAGATGAAGATGAAGATGAAGATGAAGATGAAGATGAAGATGAAGATGAAGATGAAGATGAAGATGAAGATGAAGATGAAGATGAAGATGAAGATGAAGATGAAGATGAAGATGAAGATGAAGATGAAGATGAAGATGAAGATGAAGATGAAGATGAAGATGAAGATGAAGATGAAGTGAAGATGAAGATGAAGATGAAAGATGAAAGATGAAGATGAAGATGAAGATGAAGATGAAGATGAAATGAAGATGAAGATGAAATAGATGAAGATGAAGATGAAGATGAAGATGAAGATGAAGATGAAGATGAAGATGAAGATGAAGATGAAGATGAAGGATGAAGATGAAGGATGAAGATGAAGATGAAGATGAAGATGAAGATGAAGATGAAGATGAAGATGAAGATGAAGATGAAGATGAAGATGAAGATGAAGATGAAGATGAGATGAAAGATGAAGATGAAGTGAAGATGAAGATGAAGATGAAGATGAAGATGAAGATGAAGATGAAGATGAAGAATGAAGATGAAGATGAAGATGAAGATATGAAGATGGAAAGATGAAGATGAAGATGAAGATGAAGGAGATGAAGATGAAGATGAAGATGAAGATGAAGATGAAGATGAAGATGAAAAAAGAAGAAAGAAAAAAGATGAAAAGAAAATGAAAAAAAAGAAATGAAGATGAAGATGAGAGATGAAGATGAAGATGAAGATGAAGATGAAGATGAAGATGAAGATGAAGATGAAGATGAAGATGAAGAATGAAGATGAAGATGAAGATGAAGATGAAGATGAAGATGAAGATGAAGATGAAGATGAAGATGAAGAAAGATGAAGATGAAGAAAATGAAGATGAAGATGAAGATAAGATGAAGATGAAGATGAAGATGAAGATGAAGATGAAGATGAAGATGAAGATGAAGAAGAAAAGATGAAGATGAAGATGAAGATGAAGATGGAAGATGAAGATGAAGATGAAGATGAAGATGAAGATGAAGATGAAGATGAAGAAAGATGAAGATGAAGATGAAGATGAAAGATGAAGATGAAGATGAAGATGAAGATGAAGATGGAAGATGAAGATGAAGATGAAGATGAAGATGAAGATGAAGATGAAGATGAAGATGAGAGATGATAAGATGAAGATGAAGAAATGAAGATGAAGATGAAGATGAAGATGAAGATGAAGATGAAAATGAAGATGAAGATGAAGATTGAAGATGAAAGATGACAGATGAAGATGAAGATGAAGATAAGATGGAAGATGAAGGATGAAGATGAAGGAATGAAGATGAAGATGAAGATGAAAAGATGAAGGATGAAGATGAAGATGAAGATGAAAAAAAAGATGAAGATGAAGATGAAGGATGAAGATGAAGATGAAGATGAAGATGAAGATGAAAAGATGAAGATGAAGATGAAGATGATGAAGATGAAGATGAAGATGGAAGATGAAGATGAAGATGAAGATGAAGATGAAGATGGAAGATGAAGATGAAAAAGATGAAGATGAAGATGAAGATGAAGATGAAGATGAAAGATGGGAAGATGAAGATGAAGATGGAGAGATTGAAGATGAAAGATTGAAGATGAGAGAAAAAATGAAGATGAAGATGGAAAGATGAAGATGTAAGATGAAAAGATGAAGATAAAGAAGATCGAAAGAAATGAAGATGAAGATGAAGATGAAGATGAAATGAAGATGAAGATGAAGATGAAGATGAAGATGAAGATGAAGATGAAGATGAAGATGAAGATGAGATGAAGATGAAGATGAAGATGAAAGATGAAGATGAAGATGAAGATGAAGATGAAGATGAAGATGAAGATGAAGATAGATGAAGGATGAAAGAAGAGAAGATGAAGATGAAGATGAAGATGAAGATGAAGATGAAGATTAAGATGAAGATGAAGATGAAGAGAGATGAAGATGAAGAAAATGAAGATGAAGATGAAGATGAAGATGGAAAGATGAAGATGAAGATGAAGATGAAAGGAGATGAAGATGAAGAATGAAGAAATGAAGATGAAGATGAAGATGGAAGATGAAGATGAAGGATGAAATGGAAGATGAAGATGAAGATGAAGATGAAGATGAAGATGAAGATGAAGATGAAGATGAAGATGAAAGATGAAGATGAAGATGAAGATGAAGATGAAGATGAAGATGAAGAAGATGAAGATGAAGATGAAGATGAAGATGAAGATGAAGATGAAGATGAAGATGAAGATGAAGAAGATGAAGATGAAGATGAAGATGAAGATGAAGATGAAGATGAAGATGAAGATGAAGATGAAGATGGAAGATGGAAGATGAAGATGAAGATGAAGATGAATGAAGATGAAGATGAAGATGAAGATGAAGATAAAGAATGAAAGAATAGAAGATGAAGATGAAGATAAGATGAAGATGAAGATGAAGATGAAAGATGAAGATGAAGATGAAGATGAAGATGAAGATGAAGATGAAGATGAAGATATGAAGATGAAGAAAAATAAGATGAAGATGAAGATGAAGATGAAGATGAAGATGAAGATGAAGATGAAGATAAGATGAAGAATGAAGATGAAGATGAAAAGATGAAGATGAAGATGAAGATGAAGATGAAGATGAAGATGAAGATGAAGATGAAGATGAAAGATGAAGATGAAGATGAAGATGAAGATGAAGATGAAGATGATGAAGATGAAGATGAAGATGAAGATGAAGATGAAGATGAAGATGAAGATGAAGATGAAGATGAAGATGAAGATGAAGAATGAAGATGAAGATGAAGATGAAGATGAAGATGAAGATGGAAGATGTAAGATGAAGATGAAGATGAAGATGAAGATGAAGATGAAGATGGAGGAGATGAAGATGAAGATGAAGATGAAGATGAAGATGAAGATGAAGATGAAATGGATGAAGATGAAGATGAAGATGAAGATGAAGATGAAGATGAAGATGAAGATGAAGATGAAGATGAAAGAAGATGAAGATGAAAGAAGATGAAGATGAAATGAAGAAAAAAGAAAGAAGATGAAGATGAAGATGAAGATGAAGATGAAATGAAAGATAGGAAGATGAAGATGAAGATGAAGATGAAGATGAAGATGAAGATGAAGATGAAGATTGAAGATGAAGATGAAGATGAAGATGAAGATGAAGATGAAGATGAAGATGAAGATGGAAGATGAAGATGAAGATGAAGATGAAGATGAAGATGAAAAGATGGATAGATGTGAAGATGAAGATTGAAGATGAAGATTGAAGATGGAAGATGAAGATGAAGATGGAAAGGATGAAGGATGAAGATGAAGATGAAGATGAAGATGAAGATGAAGATGGAAGATGAAGATGAAGATGAAGATGAAGATGAAGATGAAGATGAAGATGAAGATGAAGATGAAGATGAAGATGAAGATGAAAGAATGAAATGAAGATGAAGATGAAGATGAAGATGAAGATGAAGATGAGATGAAGATGAAGATGAAGATGAAGATGAAAGATGAAGATGAAGATGAAGATGAAGATGAAGATGAAGATGAAGATGAAGATGAAGATGAAGATGAAGATGAAGATGAAGATGAAGATGAAGATGAAGATGAAGATGAAGATGAAGATGAAGATGAAGATGAAGATGAAGATGAGATGAAGATGAAGATGAAGATGAAGATGAAGATGAAGATGAAGATGAAGATGAAGATGAAGATGAAGATGAAGATGAAGATGAGATGAAGATGAAGATGAAGATGAAGATGAAGATGAAGATGAAGATGAAGATGAAGATGAAGATGAAGATGAAGATGAAGATGAAGATGAAGATGAAGATGAAGATGAAGATGAAGATGAAGATGAAGATGAAGATGAAAAAAAAAATGAAGATGAAGATGAAGATGAAGATGAAGATGAAGATGAAGATGAAGAGAAGATGAAGATGAAGATGAAGATGAAGATGAAGATGAAGATGAAGATGAAGATGAAGATGAAGATGAAGATGAAGATGAAGATGAAGATGAAGATGAAGATGAAGATGAAGATGAATGATTTATTACTCAAAGCAATTAAATGTTTTGACAGCTAACCCATTAATTGCATTTTTATTACCCCTTTTGCCGACATCAAAGGTCCGGAAATTCTCGTTTCTATACTATTCCCATAGTAAATATCTGACGCAATTTATAATACAGTTTTTATTTATTTATTCATTTAAAAAACTTTATAATTTGTTCAATGATTACCATAATTTTCTTAGCATAACTTCTTGCATTTCTCCTAAAAGTATGTTACGAGTCTTTCCTTCCGGCTGTTGTCTCGTCAATCTATAATTAAAATACATATGTATATACATATGTATGTTAGAATCAAATGGAAAATATTTTCCATAAATATACACACCAATTAAGAAGAAAAATTCTGGATACCGTTTAAAAAGAGTCCAGATTGAAAAGCAATTCTGGAAATGAATTAATTTATTAACTGAATACAAATAAGTCACTTACCCTTTAACAATATTTAATAAATTACATTGCAAAACACTTGTGAATACTTTGGCTGTCATTAGAGCTGTGAAAAAATCGATTTCAACAACGAGACCATCCATTCTTTTTTTCGTTAAATAATATTTTCATCATCTCAATCTAATTTCGGAACCGCTGCTCCGAATTCCTTAAAAAAAAAAAACAATTAATTGTTTTTCAGTATCCGAACATAGGCAGAATTTTCATTGCCTACTTTGTTTCGGAGTTGTCTTACCGAAACCCATGAGATTTGTTTTTGTTTTTAGAACATGACACCAGGAATCGGACAGGAAAGGAATTTTGGTACTGAAGGGTAACGATCGTTTGTATCATGTCATATTCATATCATATATGATATAAATATATATAATATAAATATAAATATAATAATATATAAATATAAATTAAAACAAAAATTCTAATATATTACAAATAGGTATATCTTAAATAATATGAAAATTATTTTAAAAGTAAAAAGTGGTAGTTTTTAATTGTACTATGGCAATTATTTGATATAGTAGTTTGTTTTTCATACAATTTTAAACAAAATTGTAGAATAATAATAAAAGGCTATACTTCGGCCCGTTCCGACGAGTGGAGTATAAAAGAGTAACTTCGAAGTTTAATTCAGATAGCTTCAAAACTAGAGACTAGTTTGCGTAGAAACGGACAGACGGCCGGACAGACTGACAAACGGACATGGACATAGACTCGGCTGTTGATGCTGATCAAGAATATATATACTCTATATGGTCAGAGATAACTCCTTCACTGCGATGCAAACTTCAGACTAAAATATCGATAAGTATCTATTCAAAGAATGTGAATATTTTAAGCTTACCTATGATAGATTGTTGATTAGATTTTATAATTCCATTGCAAAAGCCTCGGCTTCCTGTAGATGGTTTCCTTTCTTGTTTAACTGATTTGTCATAAAGCCATTTTGTATTATTTCAGAATTTGGGTTTCCTTTGTTTTAGTTTTTTTTTTTAAATTGGACAACTATATCAATATCGGTACTTCGCTTTCACCCATTCTATGATACCTTCGGGTTATCTTAGGGCATCACCCATCTCCCGCATAACGGAGTCTATTCCATCCCCGACTATAAATTTTCTATTCAGCGTTCTATGATTTTTAATATGCATTTTTAGCAAACACAACATAATCACTGATCCCTGCTGGATTTCATACGAAAGTTCTGCTGAACGAGTACGATTACCGATCATGATATAAGATTTTTCCATCATGATCAACAAAAAAAATGCGTAAACATAGAACTTTTTCCTGCTTTATACCAAGCTCACGCTTGCTCCTATCTCTTCTCGCTCTCCCTCCTTCCAGTCGGTAACTAGATAACTTAATCTTAAGCAATAAAGTAGATAACATTTGTGAAGCTCGAACCCAACGCCGATTTGTTTTATTTTTACGTGCATCACTGCAACACTAGGCCGGAGAAGTTCACCCCCAAGCAATTCTATTTCTCCAGTCGGATCTATCCTGATCCTTTCAGTCCTCCTTTTTTGGATTCCAAGATAAGTCCGAGCATTAAAAGTCCAGAGTGCGATTGGTCCATCTTCCATTTCCAAGTAAAAGTACTTATGCTTTTTTTAATGCTTTTCTTATCAGAGTTCGAATTTTGTTAAAAAAATATGTTCTCACAGCAAGTTGATGGGCAAAGAAAAATAACTTCGACTGAGTCTGCATCTAGGGTTTAGGAATTAGTCGGAGTAAAAGCAAGTCTTCCAATTATTCGTCGTACAATCAGAAATACAGATCACCTAAAGCGACTAAAATGAAGAAAAAAGACCCTCTGAATGCAACACGCAAAGAAAAACGGCTTCAATTCGAAAAAGAATTAATTTTGTTTGTCAAGTTTGGAAATATTTATTATTGTATTTTATAGTTAGCAACTTAAACAATAGATTGGGTAAAGATTACATTACTGTTCAATCTGACACTCGACTTAATGATGTCTTGTCTTTCAATGGTATCACGATTTGCTCAAAGAAGAGTCATATTTAAGTATCCACCACAGTGTCGTTTTATAAACTAAATGATTTGATTTTTATCAATCATAAGATGAACCGCGATCATTTTAAAACGTTATTTGAGTTCAAAACATTCCGTAAACATATTAACATCGTTACGTAATTAAAAATGTTTGGGGTTGTCTAATACGAAGGAGAATAGCAATACGAATATATATATTAAACGTGTTTGGAGGAACATTTATTTGAATTCCTTCTATCATCCTATTATTATTACTAACAAATTACAATTTATTTTTCTTATATTTGTTTTGTTCTTATAATTACGATATGAACACTAAATATAAGGTTAGTAAAATACAAATTTTTTCTATAAAAAATCAAGAAGTCTTAGTTGACCTACTGAGGCCCAAGCCTAAAGCCTCCAATTGGAGCTAAGCTTTATTTTGCTCCACTCCCTCTGTTTACTATTTGTGGTCCCCATTACTCTGTACCATCCCGAGTCAGTAAGGAAGCCTAGGATTGCCGAGACCTTCAGCTTTCCTATGCTTCCCCGTAACTCCGTTTTGTAGGTACAAAAGTGGTGAGCTCTGGTGAGATTTAGCTCTGGGCAGAAGCAGAGCAGATGTTCCGGTGTCTCTTGTTCTGTAGTTTGCTTGCAGCTTCTACATATTGTATTCTGCGGCGGTCACATATTTATTGCATGTGATTCAATCGCCCAATGTCCAGTGGTGACTGCCCTGATCCTGCTGATATCCCGTTTTCTGTTGGATAGCAGTCCACTGGTTCGTTTTTTGTCGTATTTCGGCCAACATTCCTTTGACCTCCTGCTCTCGCTCTTTCTTAACCATTCCTTTTTGGAAATGGGTATGGATCCTTGTCTGGATCGCATTTAGGGTGATCGGTAGTTCAATGTCCGTACTTAGCCCTGCCGAACCTGCACGGGCTAGTTCGTCCGTCTTTTCGTTCCCTGCGATATCGTTATGATCCGGGACCCAGGTTACTTGTACCTCATTTTTCTCAGCAAGTCTATTAAAGGTCTTCTTGCATTCTGCCGCTAGCCGTTAGGTTGTTTTCGGCAGCTAGGGATTTTATAGCCGCTCGGCTATCCGAGTAGATCGGTCATTGGTGTTTCTGAGCTTTCGCCGTAAGCCGAATCCGGCTGCTTCCGAAAATTGAATGCCTTTTCAATTCCCCAATTTACAGCTCATCTTAGAGCCTGCCGCCGGTGGTAGCTCAAAGGGTTGAGACGACAAACACTGGAACCCGTAGCACTGCCGGTCCGGGTTCGAGTCCCGGTAGTAAGTAGCATGGTCACCCCGGACCTTCCTTCCATTTTCCATTGAACTTCTCCCCTCACTATTGTAAAAAAGTTGCTATACTACAGTAATTGTACAATAATAAAATTCAGCTCAATAAATAAGCATTTAAAAAAAAAAAAATCTTAGAGCCATCGGTGTAGAGGAACATTTCGTTCTCTACTGCTACTTTGTCCCTGCTCCCCTGTTCCCTTGTTGTGTATGAGGTCGAGAATGCGTTCGAGAAGTTCAACTCCGTGGTCCGCTTTTTCGTTTGTCTGTATTTTGATGCTTTCAAGTATCTTACCGTTCCTGGCGCCGTTTTCCTTTCAAGCAATTGTCTCAGTCTTACTGCGCTCTGTACTGTAATCTCCTTTTCGAACAATGTCATGCTAGGTATGAGCGCATTGCTCCCACGGCCCCCGAACTCGTTGCTCGTTGCATCCGTGTCAGCTTCGATCTCTTGTATGCTCTAGTTGGAGCCGGTCACCATACAAGGGCCCCGTATAATAATAATTTAAATAAGAAATATTTTAACACCTACTTTTACAGCAGGATTTGGGGTGACTTTTAGGACCTCCGGTGTGATTTTGTCGGCCCATGGGGCCTTTTTCCTTTTAAAGTTTTTGCCGCTTTCAGTAGCTCGTCCACTGTGAAGAGTTCGATCTCTTCTGCTATTGTTGGAGTAGTTCTCGCTTTGATAATATAATTATATAATATATAATTTGACTATAAGGTCCATTTGTTCTTCTTCGAGTTCTGGTGTTGTGCTTCTTGTTTTTAGCTTCTTCATCACGATTTTATACCCTAGCCCCCATGGGTCAGAGTTGACGTCGTTGTAGAGACGTTGCCATTTCGCCTGTTCACCAATACGCTTCCTATCCTTGTCTGCGAGGATTGCCCATTTTTGGCATTGGAGCGTTGCAGTCCTGTTTTATGGTTGCCAGGTTGTTGCTAACTGCGTTACCGCCGGTCTGTCGGTTCTGTCTTGCGTCAATTTCTTGTATCAGCCTTGCCTTGTCTAGTCGGTTAACGTTGCATCATTTTCTCGTTGATCTCGAGTCACTTCGCTTTCTGCTATGTTAAACGTTATATAGTTATGGTCACTTCCGTTGTAGGTGTCGAGGACTTTCCCACCGGCGATCTTGTGCGCGCAGTTTTCTGCCACTAGGGTTATGTCGGGGATTGTGCCCTCGTTCCCTACTCGATGGAATGTCGGTATTGCTCCTACATTTGCTGTTAGCATTCCGATACTTGCAGCCATATTTAGGACTCTACGGTCTCGAGAGTCAGTTGATGCCATGCCCCATTCTTGAGCCCTTGAGTTAAAGTCTCCTGCTATTATAAGGTTTTCTCCTATTTGCCTGGCGTTGTCTTCAATACATTCAAGTTTCGTCAGGAAAGTCTGCATGTCGTCACTTGGGGTCAAATAACAGCTGAATATCGTCCAGTTTCTTATTTATGTTAGAACATAGCATTTTCCCTTTTTGTCGCCTCTGTATGAAAGAGTGGTAGGATCGGGGATCCAGATTGCCGCCGTCTTTGTGTCGTCTTCTAGCCAAACAAATTCGTCCCGTTTCTTAAATTGTTGGCTTATGATAACAACGTCAATATGGTTTTCAAGCACAATTTTGTGCTTTAGGTCATTTGCTGTTCTGCTTCTATGCATATTTGATTGAAGAATCTTTATGGTTTTCCTTTCCTGGCCACACTGGGACAGTGCGCCGTCATAGGGAGGTATCCAACGTCACTCCTGCTCTCTGATGTACAGAAAAAGCATCTCCGACCTTTAGCGCAGGTCT